AATTTTTATATAATAATGATATTAATAAAATTAATATTTAATATTTTATTAAGAAATTAACACTTTTTTTTTAACTTTGCAGCCTGCTCTACAGTCTAAGGGATAATTTTTTTTAAAAATTTAATAATTATATACTTTTTTAAAAAATACTTAAATATTTTAAATATTGAATTTTATAATTTCAAATAATTATAATATAATAATAAAGATTTTTATAAATAAATAATTTTAAAAATAATAAATAAATCTTACTTAACTATAAAAGAAATTTTAATTAATCAAAAAGAAAATATTACAAATGATATATAATATTACAATTTAAAGCAATTACTCTATAAATAAAATTAGAAACATTAGAAACAAGTTATCTAATTTATTTATTATAAATTATTATTATATTAAAGATATAATAATTAAATAATAGGATTTAATAAAATAATGCTTTAAAAAAAAATATAATATATAAAATTCTACATAATACTTTAAATATTAAACTTTATAAATTCCAATAAAAGATTTAAGTATTAATAGAACAAAAATTCCTTTAATATTGAAGTATTATATTGCAGATCATAATTATTTTTAAATTTTCATTCGAGTTGCAACTTAATTGCATCATATTGGCAACAATTTTTTTTGGTAATTGCAGTCATTTTTAATTATGACTATAAATAATTTATTTATTATTTATATAAGTATTAATATAAATACCTTATATATAAAGGTTAAAAATAAAGAATTATGTTATTTTAAAACAGAGTTTTTAAAGAAAATCAAGAACCGATTTCTTAAAAAAAAATTAATATATCAAATTTGTTAGCAATGTCATTCCTATAAAAGAAAATCAATGGAGTTAACCTCTCATTATTATTAGAGGGCGGGTTGTGGGTTACGTCTGTTTTCATTTATCTAAAATAAAAAATTTTTTATACAAATAACCTATTATATATATATCACGTGTAAAGGGAACCTTACAGTTTGAAGTTTATCAAGCATGATACTTTTGTTTATTTATTGGTTCACAAAATTAAATAATTAATGATAGGTAATAATTTTGACATTTCCGATAATTACATAAATTAACTATTTCTAGATATGATCGGCAAAGTCGGTAACCAATTAATAATTCGTGTTATCTGTGTTATCTAGATAATAATGTATGACCAAATTGCTGGTAACAAATTATATGTACTCCTTAATTTAGAATATATAAGTTCAGCGATAAGTTGGGCTTTAAACATTCGAAAACAAAATATGGTTTATTAGAGTTAGTTATAGTAGATCAAATTAAGCCCAGGTAAACAAACACCTGTTTGACATCGGATATTTGGCTAATCTATGTGCGGATCATTCAAATACCCTTTTTAGATTCAAGCAAATTTTTGAGTCGTACTTTAGATTTTCGAAAAAGGTAATGCATTTATTTATGAGAACATTCCACGAACACTAAAATTATAGATTAGATTTTTCAATTACTTTACTTTATTAATTTATTTACCTGGCATTTGGGTTTATTTAAATTTGCCAAATGTATTTCTTGTCTAAACAAATATTCATTTCATAATCTTATCAAGTTTTGATAAGAAATTCATAAATTGAAGTTTGTTTTATTTATGAAAAAACATTTCATAAATAAATTTATTTTGTAACATGGCATTGAATTTATAGGAATCGGAAAAATTAAAGATCCTTTATAAATAAACAAAAAAAAGGAGGATATGCGAGATAATGAAGATAACCGATCTTTGTTTAACTCTACGGAATATTACGGAAGTAACAAGATTACATTGTTTGTTTTAAATAAATAATTTTTTCTTGAAGAGTCAATTCAATTAATTTTTCATAATCAATTAATTGATCAAGTTTCCTTTCTTTTTGTTTCCTTTTTTTTATTTTTTTTTCTAAAGAAGTGGTTGAATTTTATGAAAATTTTTTTATTATAGAAATAAATAAATAAATGATTTTTGACGTAAATTAATTTTATTTCGTTTATAATACATAAGCGAATGATAAGGTGAGTTGATAAGGTATATACTTATTTATAGATCGCCGATTATCCACAGATTTTGTGATTCTACTAAAATGGAATTTGTCAAACAAAACAAAATTATGATAAGAAATGAACTTTATCTAAAAGATATGCAAATAACAATGATAAGGCGACGTATTAATATAGTTAAATTACACGGATAACTGAATCAATTTTATTTCGCTAATAAATGGTACCGATTTGTTTGTTTGATAATAAGCTTTATAAAATTTTGAGAATTCAGGACTTGTAATTTCATTTATATTTTCAACGTTAATCGTTCTATCATCATTCGGATTTTTTTACACTCTTTAATTTATATCATTTTAAATAAAACTTATATACTACCAAAAAAATGGGAGCAAATCATTCAAAAAATACGCATAGATTAAGGAAAGAATCTACTGGTTCTGATCATTCTTCAAATAAAAAATCACTCGAAAGAAAGACTTCTGTGTCATCGAATACAGAAAAATATAAATATATCGAAGGAAGACGCTTCCATAATTTGCCTGACATACATTATGACCTTCCGAATGACGATGACGAAGGTATGTTTATATCATGAAATAATTTATAATGTACTAATTTGTTATCTAACCGCACACAATATTTTTTTTTCTACGTTAGTTGATCGCTTACATTTAGAACATTTTTTGATACGAACTGTATGGAAATCAAATTATTCATCTCCAATAGATGAGCTATTGGAAGCCGGATGTACTGTGTTAGATATAGGGTGTGGTCCGGGTGCATGGTGTTTAGATATGGCAACAAAGTATAAAAATTCCAAGTTCTTTGGATTAGATATCTCTCCAATGTTTCCGAAAGAAATAAAACCGAACAACACAATATTTCAAGAGTGTCAAATACTTGATGGAATTCCATACAATGATCAATCATTTGACTTTTGTCATATGAGATTCATGTTTCCTAGTTTCGACGAATCTCAATTCGAGAATATTGTAATTAGAGAAGTTAGTAGGGTTTTGAAAGTTGGAGGTATGAAAATCAAGAATTTGATTAAAAAAATTTTTTTAATTTTGCTAACGAATTATTATTTGAAAATATGATAAGGTTATTTGGAGGTTTGCGAGTATGAATTATGTCAGAATTGTGGACCTATTCTGCAAAGGTTGTTAGATCTAAGTGAGTGGATTTTTTATATTAGATTTAATGTGTTCGAATCACGTGATTCATACTGACTAGAATTTCCTTAAAAGGATGCGAGATGATGACGAATATAGGACGGAATCCAAAAATTGCTGCGCTTATTGGTAAATTTATGGAAAAAACAAATCTTTTCGATGAAGTTCATTTCGAAGAGAGAACAATAGGAATAGGTAAAAAAAAATTTTTATTTTAACTGGATCCCCCTTCGCTTCATAAACTTATCGGTTATTTATTTTTAAATCCCTCATGATTCAGGGAGCTGGGCAGGAAGAATAGGAGAAGTGGCAAAAGATGACGTTGTGACAAGGATGTATTCTATAAAACCCGCGTTAATGAATCATATAAATGGTCTCGGTATTGGGATCTCATCAGAAGATTATGACGAGATGATGAGACAATCGGTAGATGAATTTAATGAATATCAAACATATTTTGTCACATGCAGATGGTATGGGAAGAAATTGAAATAATGAAAAATATAAGAAGCCGTTCAATACGTTTTACAACCCGTTATTTATTTTTATGATCAATTTTAATTTAAGTTTTGTAAGTGTTCTTATATAAATTTTATATATAATATATAGAGATAAAATGGTTTTGTGTAACTTTTATAATAAAAAAAAAAATTCAAAAATAACAATTAATATTCGAAACGAGTTTATTCCTTTTTTGTGTTTTATTTTCTATAAATGCTTCTCTTTTCAAATATGATAAGTTCTTTTAAAAGGATTTGATTTAAAAGAATACTTCTTTTCTATTTTTTTTTTTTTTTTTTTATAATTTAGACCGAATTTCGAATTCTTTATTATATATTATATATAATTATTATAATTCTTTTTTGTTTTTAGACAAAATGATTTATATTTATTAATATTAACCTTTTACTTATATACTTTTATATATTATAAAATTTTTATATCTTTTGCATTTATGCTTTTATATGTTAATCATATGGTAATCAGCTATTAAAATCACATAATATATAATTTTATCTTCTTAATTATCTAAATATTATACTTATCACTTTCATCATTAATATTTCTTCTTCAATATCTGATATATAATTATAATATAATGCATAAATGAATAGATATAATAAAGAAAGTATACAGTATTTTTGACTACCTAACCATTTTATTGCTTCTTCAATTGGTTTAAAAATATCAATTAGTTTATTTAATAAAATCCATTTATAATCTAAAAGATTTCATTTTCTTAATTTTTTCATTTTATAATTACATATTATGTTTAAATGCTATTTTCTTTTGAGCTTTTGCTAATTGTTATTTTATTTTGAAAAACTAAAAAATTGTATTAATTTCTTAATATATAGTTTGATTTTTTAACCCTTTAATAATACAAAACTGCAATGTAATTACATTGCATAGAATTCAATCAACACTTTTCTACTCATAAATAGCTTTAATCATATTGCTACAATTATCAGTAATTGCTACATTTACTTTATTATCTAATCTAAGCAGTTAAAGTTTAGTTAAAATAGTTAAAATAGTTTGACAGATGTTATTACCCTTATAAAGATAATTAATTGGCTCAATACAAATTTAATATATCATATAATTTCATATTTGCTAAATTAATAATATGTAATTCTATAACTTAATATTATACAAGATATACAAAAATTAATTGTTATAACTACTATTTTACAGGTTTGAGTAATCATTTTCTTTATAGCCTGAAATGCAGTTTGATATTTACAATTAATATCTTTTTTAATTATTATATAATATATTAGTTTAAATGCAAAATAAAACTTATACATAAAATCTTTCTTTATTTGCTGAATTAAAAGGTTAAGAGTTTATTACTAATCAGTCATAGTATATTGTTTAGATTCTTTATATAAAATAAAATTTTTTATTTAATCATCTACTTTTAATTGTTTCTGAATAACAAATAAAGTATATGGGATGAGTGCTGGGAAAATGGACCAAATTGATTTTTTTTTAAAAAAAAAGTTTCTAAGTAAAAATGATGTAGATTTGATCATCTGATTCAGATCATTTGTTATTTCAAAAAAAAAATTTTTTGTCAATTTGGTCACTTTTCCTAACACTTACCCTATATATAAATATTATGTTAATATAATAAAAAATGAATAATGATTATCAGTTTATCTTACCAATTTTTTTTTTAAATCCTTTATAAATGAATTTTAAATAATGTTATAAAATGCTAATTTAAGTATTATATATACAACTATAATTATACTTTTTTTTTAATACTTTATATTTGTAATAAACATGTTTATCAGTTTAGATTTCAAAATACATTCACATTTAACTTGTTTTATTATTTTTAAGTTTAACTTACTAAGAATCTATTAGTTGGTTGAGTTGAAATAAAATTAGTTTACTTATTCTGATCTAGCATTTTAAAAGTTATTAAGATAAATAATAAAATTTATGTTTTTTTCACATTAAACTTAATTGTATGTACTAATCATTTTATTTTAATATATTCAAAATTTCAAAATTTTTTCCAATACTTTAAATGCATTTTTTTAATAAAAAAAAGAATAAATGTAAAATAAAACCAAAAATATTTTTTGTAAAATAAAATAGATTATTTATATGTCATATTATATCATATTGTATAATCAATCAAAATAGTAATTTTGATTGATTAACTATAAGAAATTTAATTAATTTAAATCAATTATGATTAATTTAATTTTGATTGAAATCAATAATCTGTGATTAAAAATTAATTGACTCAATTAATTATTAATCTTATTTGATTTATTTAAAAGCTCTATTCTAAATACAATTTTTTAAATGTGATTCTATGCTAATAATATTATGTAATATAACAATATTGCAATCATATAATATTTTAGATCTTTTTACATAAATAAAACTTAATAAATAAGTGTAAGGTTTGTTTATTTAGACTTTTAATCAAAATAAACTTTACTTTTCAAAAAAAATGAAAAATAACTACTAAATAAAAAAGCATTATATACTTTTGGCATTAATGTAATAATAGTTACTAAATAATTATTTTAACCATCAATTATAAATAAAGATGCCATAGTAATTAAGAAGTTGCAACTTGGTTGTAACTCCTTGTAAATTTATTTTAATATAAAAATTCATAATAGTTGCAACTAGTTAAAATTTTTAAAAATAATTATGGAAACCATTTTTAGTTGTAAAGATCAATAGTATTTGATACTTTAAAAAAAATATATAATACTAAATTATTAATTTAAAGCCTTATTCTAATTGATTACTACTTATTAAATTTTTTAATAAAATTGGCTTAAGTGACTTATAATTAATGATAAAAGAAAGAATTATCACTTAGCAAACTAAAAATTTAATAACTTTGAATAAAAAGAATAGCTAAGATATTTTACTTTGTGTTATTAGTTTAAATAATTGTATTGCTTAATATAATCTCTAATTTTATTAGCAAATAAGTAAAAATGTCTTACATATTATTTAAAATACCAAAACTGAATAAAAAACAATTGGTCAAAATTTATATGAAATAGCAATTTAACTTTTTCTTAATTTTAATAAACTAATATAATAGAATATAATAAAACTTATTTTTCAAAGTAAAACTTAGGATTTATTATTTCATTATATGAAATAGTTTTACATGAAGTCAAAATGAAAATCCAAAAGTTGAAGTATTTCTATTTTGGAAGTTAAAGTTAAAATGAAAGTCGTAATTACATGATTTTTTATATATAAAAATCTAAAAAACAAAAAATGTATGATTTCAATCAAAATTTTTCCTTTCTTATAAAATAATTACCATTTGATTCTTTATAATTAGAAGATCCAATAAGCTATATTATATTGATTTCTGATTAGCTAATATTGAGATAATCATGATTGAATTATCAGCCAAAATTATAATTCAATAAATTCTACTTTAAATAAAAGGGTCTGCATTTTATAAATACAATCGCTATTTTCTTGAGATTAGTTAATCCAAAACTAATGATAGTTAGCTTATTGATTTGTTTAGTCACAAGGAATCAAATAGTTTTTTTTATTTAAATGTGATAATATTTAAGTTTAATTTTGCAGAAGTTTACATATATCTTTTAAGATACATGAATAAAACTAGTCTTACATGATATATGAATAAAAATAATAACTCCTATAGTTCTATTTAAAGCCTAATTAGTCCTACCAATTACCTGCCTAATAAGTATCTTACCAAGTCTGACTCACCCATATACTCTTCATAAATAATAAGATAATGAGCTAATATTATTAGATATTCAGTTATATTACTGGATAAAAGGATCATTGTTAGCTATATTATGTAATTATAAAATAAATTTTTAAAATATTTAATAGTAACTTTAATTTAATATAAATGTATTTATCCCTTAGATTGTCTAGCAGGCAAATTTGCCTGCGAAATTAAAAATAATTGTTAATTTCTTTATAAAATATTAA